AAAGTCTTTCTGCTTATGACCCCATGTACGTAGCGGGCTATCTTTAAAAGTGAATATTCAAAGAAGGCTCGAGTTAAACCACGAATATCATCTCTTTCAGAATGTAGCAGTGCAGACTCCATGGCTCTGTGCCTATTCGGTGTTGCAGCTCTCATCAGATGTGGTTGAGAATATGTGTAAGATTAGATGTCAGTTCGTGAAAATGATTGAAACGATGTTTTCGATGCAGCCAAATCAACTTTTCGAAGCAACTTGTGGCTCGCTTGCCGAATTGCTGAGAAAGCCTGATTCGGTAATAACAATCTTGCCAAACCACTCTTCCTCTCTACTTCGTTTTCAATTTTCTTTTGTTCTGAAATAGTATGAAAATGATTTATCTTGTCTAGCCGTATTTTGCAAGCTTAACTTCATTTCAAACGAAATGAACATCTTTTTTCTTGATATTTCAGTAAGGCTTTTTCAGATAAAAGCGGAGCTGTCAGCTGAAGAATTCCGTTCACTTTGTGATTTGCTCGGCAAAATTGCATCTTCTCGAAAAGATACCTTGACGCTGAAAATGAAAGAATCCATCATTCACTGCCTCGGATTTCTTTCGTCGCATGCCTTGCAGACAAACTTATATGGGCAAATTCTAACTCAGTTATATGCCACCGGAGAGGTATTTTTTCGTCCGTTTTTTGGCAACTAAGCAAGCAGCTGTATTTACTTAAAAAAGCGAGAATCTTGAGAAATCGGAGAAAAAATTGCACAGAAACAACTTTTTAGCATTACTCATGTTTCGGAATTCAGTTTTGGAATCTCTAAACAAGTCGTTTTAGCTTTCATAAAATTAGGTGATTTAGAGAACAAGCTGAATTGGATTCCTTGTTGATCGAAGATCCGAAGCATTAGCTTTCTGCGGTTTCTTATTGTTTGAGTTTCTGAAATGAATATTCAAAGAATACCGTAGTTTTTGAGATTCGCGGAACGAGCTCACTGAAGTTGATGATGAGCAGGGGTTCTGTTTTTTTTTAGCATGAAAATTAAATGCTAGACTATGTCGAAACAAAAATGTGAGGCGACCTATTACTGTATGATATTTTCTAGATCGCAAGTGAGCCGGAGATGCATTTTACAATTGGTGAATCAATTGCGGATGTTGCTTTCAGTGAAAGTTCTCCGATGCGCAGGAATATTTTCACTGAAAGTGAAGAAACTTTTTTGGTAAATTTCTTTTCTTCCTTTCTGATCCTCCTATCTTATCGTCTACTTTTGCTGGAATCGCTGGAGGAGTCGCTCCTTTCACACAACACCAAATA